GGCTGGGGCGCCCCGGCGGGCCGCGCGCGCGGCAGCAACGCGGGTCACGGCTGCACAACCAGGGCGCAGCGGAGAGCCGCCGGCTCAGGCGTTTCGCAGGGCCTGGTCCTCCGAGCTGGTTTTCTACTATCAGGGTTTAATAATTAGGCCATTTGGTAAAAAACGACAAACAAAAACCAGCAAGAAATTGCAGGGCAACAGGCCCAAGGTGGGTCTTTTTGTTCAAGTTAATGACAGGCACGTGGAAAGGTTAATTGTTATATCACATTTCAGCCCACTGCAAACTGTAAAAATACCAAATGGTCCCACATACAGTCCAAATAAGGTATATTACTAAAAACACCACCCCCATTCTAAAGAGGCTGAGACACTATCTAGCAAAATTACTACCCCCTTATTAAAGAAACAGCAGGATTACTACGAGCAGCTCACTAAATATACAGGACTACGTTATCTAGGTACAGTTTATTGCAAAACCAGGAAAGAGACAGCAAACGAGAAGTCCGAGTCTTTCACTTCAGATTTGCGTCACTCGTTCAAGTTTCAGTCACTCACACAGGCAGCCTGTACAAAGGAAGTCGCTAACACATTGTAGTTCCCATCATCTCACGAGAAACCTTAAAACATTTCAGTAAAAAGTTAAAATGAGGTCTTTTACCACAAGAACTACAAAATCCCACCCACCCCTCACTATTGTTGAATTTGAAGATTTGGATTCTAAAAAACATACATAAAAAGGAAGAGTCGTTCTGGTAGCATAAAGACTACCTTAAATATAACAAAAATCAGTCTAAGGAGAGTTAATGGGAGCAGGGAAAACAAAAAGTGAAATGAAGACCTGCATCATACAGTGCTTTATATTGACACTGCTGAAAGAGCTCTAAACTTCAAGATGTACTAGAGCAATCGTTTGTTTCTATATTAATTTTTAATTCTAAAGTTACATAAAAAACAGTGGTAGCAATTCTCTTGAGCTGCTAGTTTCATGAAAAAAAGTCCCTTTCAAAATTTCAATAAATATGTTGACATGTAGAGTTCGTTGAGGTTGTCATGCAAGACAAGTTACATAACCAAGACCAACTCAATCTTTATAATAAAGGCAACTTGCATTCAAAAATGAACTTTACCCTTGCAATTTTATTCAAAGGGTAAACATGAATTAACCCAGCTGTTTACCTGAAATACAAAAGTAACATGATTCAATATGAAAATAAGAAACTGTCTACAAATCTCTGACAGTAATAAATTGCAATATACAATGCATACAGGAGTTATACAGAGCAACAAACTCTTGTACAAAACAAAAATACTTTAATACCTTTAAAATCCAATTTTTTTAAAATTATTCATGAAAAAGATTTGAGTCAGAATTCACACCTCAATTAGTCAAGCTTCAGGTAGCTACATTACAGCTATTTAATATACAAAGAGATAAATCTCTTCACCAGTCATTAAAACTGTCTCTTCGTTAGAGTTGCACAGCTTTTCCGTCTCCCGTGTCCAGATCCAAAGTTTTCCTCAAATCACGAGAACTGAATT